ATTCATATATTATAATTTATAATCATGTATCAAATATGATATATATGTGTATATATATTATAATTTTTAAATTATTAGATTTTAATAAAAAAAATTAAAATTACATAATTATAATATTTAAAAAAATTAAAATTATTCGATTAAAATTTAATAATTAAAATTATACAACTATAATTAAAAGACAAATTATTCAATTGCCATTACAATACTTAACGATTAAAAACGCAATTAATCCTTAAAAAAATAAATATTGCCGTTATCACCGTACTAGTGGTTGTCATTAATTTAACTAGTTATTACCAGCATTGCATTGCACCATCCTATTATCTCATCATTATCCCTTTCGTTGAGATCCTCGTCATCCTCGCGTATTAAAATTATTTTTTTTTTTATCATGATTCTTGGCAAGATTATCTCCTAACCAAACACCTGAATACAGGACATTACTTCATAAAAAACTTAAAAATTGCTTTAGGAAATATTCTGTAGACCCCAAAATTTTGACAATGTTATTCTTATTTATAATGTCATCATATTTATGAGAACATTCCCAATTTTTATTTATTTTTTAATTCTTAGAACATTCCAAATTAGTTCCCACTTACATTATGTATTCCCTAGATTTAAGCAGTTGTTAATCTTTGGATTTAATTAGATTTTCTCCATGACGTAGAGGTAATTTTTCTAAAAGTGATGGATGCCCACATAAAAATATTAAGAATTACTAATACAAATGTATGAAATAAAAGTTCAAAAATACCGAAAAGAGGCGATTAATAGTGGCGTATTATTTTCTTCTGATAACTGCATACTATATACTACCTATCTGTCAAAATATATGCATCATGTGTCTAGTGTTATACATCTTGGGCAATAAAATGATTCACAAAGTGGAATCCACAGTCGCTTCTAGACTTGGCCCAATTACAGGCCCATTGAATTGGTCAAGGTCATGTAGCCCATATTCATAAAAGGTCGGCCCATTCTCTAGGACTTTTACCATATTATTTGGTAATAATACTGTCTTTTATTTTAGATAAACAATATTATATTCCTTCTCAATTTCTTTTAACAATTATCTTATATACCTTTTTAATTTATATTTTTTTTAAATAAACTTTATCTTCACTCATTTTCTTCCATTACTTTATCCCTCTCCAATCACCCTTTAAACACTTTTACTTTTTATTTTTTATTTTTTTCCTTCAATAATCAAGATTTTCACTAACTCATCTTTATTATTATTTTTTAAATCTTATTTTTTTTTTACTTTTAACTTCAAGATTTTTTAAATCCAATTTTTTTTATTATGTCTTCAATATTGTGTATCAGATACAAAGTTGTAAATTTTATAAAAATTTTATTTTCAAAGGTGTGATGATCTATTAATTTTACGATGAATTATTGATTAGAAACAATAATTTTTTTTTATCACTAATGTTATTAAATTGTGTTTTCTATTTTGTGAAATGTTTTTCTAGAAAGTACTTTTCAAAAGAGTAAAAATATTTCTCTTTTAAAAAGTTCTTTCCAAAAATATATTTTTATCTTTTAAAAAGTACTTTCTAAAAATATATTTTTTCTTTCAAAAAATATTTTTTAGAAGTATATTTTTCTCTTCGAATTTGGGAGTGCTAAAACATACTTTTGAAAATAAAAAAATATACTTTCGAAAAGTACTTTTTGAAAGTATATATTTTTTTTTTCAAAAAACACTTTTTGAAATTTTATTTTTTCTCTCCCAAAATACTTTTTCTTTGAGTTTTGAGGTGCTAAAGCATTATTTTAGAAAAATATTTTTTGAAAAAAAAATTTCAAGAATTTTTTTTAAAAAGATATTTAAGAAAAAGAGTATTTAGAAAATAAATAAAGAAAAAAAGGTAAGAGAAATAGTGGAGGTGTATTTAAAATAAAATAAAATATAATA